AAACGCAGCAGGCGCTGCAGTCTTGGTGAAGCAGCGAAGGGCTGCTGTTTTGGTCGGGAACGGGCAGAAAAACGCAGCAGGCGCTGCAGTCTTGGCGAAGCAGTGAAGGGCTGTTGTTTTGGTCGAAAATAAGGCGGAGAAACAGCACAGCAAAGCTGCTGTTTGCTGTTTCTGCATGGTGAGGAGACGATGAAGCACGCAGCAAAGCTGCTGTCTTGGCGGTTCTAGGTGCAGGGGAGTCAAGGGCCGGGTTGTAATCATAGAGGTGGCAGCAGCGCAAGGCGCAGGCGTGCACACAGCAGCTGCTGTTGCTGCTGTCCGGTGCGACGAGGCTGCCCTCCCAGGTACACGAGGCCGGCGTTAAAGGTCCAAAACCGGCAGCTGCAGCCGCTGTCCAAATGGCTGTCGAGACCAGAATTTCTTCACACGCAAACAGTAGTTACTGCTGTTCTTGAAACTCTCGCTCCTCTCCAGAGAAGAAAACCCCCTTCGTGAAGCTCCCCCCTCTAAGATTTGACCTCCTCAAAAATATCATAATCTTTTTTTTAAACATGGGGTAATGACCCTAAGGGGAAGAAAAGACCCTTCAAAAGAAAGAAAAGTCTGATGGTTGGGACCCAAGGCTGCAACTACCCCCCTTCTTATTTTCAAAACAAAACCAGCTGTCAACAACTTTCCCCTTTTAAAAAAAAAAAAAACATATATATTTATGTAAGTCAACACATAAACTTTACAAAGCAAGCTAAAGAGAAGTTTTCCAAACTTTTAAAGATAAACGAGGACGTAATACCCCTAATGACGAGAGGAAAACTTTTGATGCAAACTGAGAAGAGAATGGGGAAGATCCTAACACCACCAACAATATTTCTACTACGTACCTAACCAATCTTTAACTCCTATACTCAATCTCACCATATAGTCTCTAACAGGGGCATACCTATTAAGATGGTAGAGGCCATGGGGTGCATGGGTTATCGCTTAATTTATAAAACACTTGAACAATGACTCAGTCAATGATACATGATAAGGATTTTACACATGTAATTTATAAGTGCAAGTATGTAGAGTATTGAATCATATAATAAGCGACAAGCACCAATATTGATTCCAACGAAGAGATGAAGTACCATAATAGTCACGACAATTGCTAATTAGATGATCAAATAGTGGATTGGTGATTATCCTAATTAATACTACTCACACTTGCAGAGTTACCAAAAACACACGACGAGGAATTGGATTTACTTCAAACTGGGAAAGTTCGTGGGGGTCGGAATTCATTTAAATATTGTTAATAACACTGTTCAATTTTAGAAATCATTAATAAAAGATAGTGACTGAAAGTAACACAACCATTTAAATTTAACTCTCGATACAATTGGTGGGAGTTGGCGCCACCTTGCGGTAGCATGTAAGTGACATACATTTGTGGTACAATATATGTGAGTCGAATGTCATCTTGAGGTAGCATGCAGACGACATGAACTTGCGATACAATAGATGCGAGTTGGATACCACCTTTGAGGTAGCATGTAACTTGTAAGTGACGTGACATGTTATCTTGAATTTCTACCCACATTTTCAGGTTCAGTGACTTTAATGCTTTGAGATATGATGATTGAAGCTAAAGAGAGGGCTTTTCCTTTATTTGTAACTGTCTGCATGGGTACTTGCATAAGCTGATTAGAACAAACACCAATTCCCATGAAACTACGTGAAAAGCTTATTTATTTTGGTGTGACAGACCCGATTGTAAGTTTGTAACTAACATTATCAACAACCCCAAACCAAGGTTTTGTCTGTCCCCATGCATACTAACGAAAAATAAAGATAAAGAATGCATTTATAATCCAAGATATTGTATGCATGATGGTATCTAAAATCCAACATTGTTGTTTTCTGAAGTGTAAAATGGACAATTATACAAATTAAGACATTTATCAATTTACAAAAACAAACAAGTTTATTGACTTTACTTTTAGACTTCAGTAACACCTCTTATCAATCAGAAATGAAATAAGACTATAGACTTCAACACCTCTTAATAAACATAAAAAAAATCTAAGTATCCAATTCTAGAGGTTCACAAAAACACGACTAACCCAATCTAAACCAACCTGAAGCCACCCGATACCTAAACATTGTCGGGTTGGAATTGGGTTAAGGTCATTTGAACCCAACTCAACACGATGAACCTGGTGTCTTTCTATACCATGAATTTAATACAAGTGGTAAGTCCTTAATTAATATGTGTACGCTAAATAAACCCTTAATTAGATCTATTCATAATTATATCACACTTCTACTCGTAACTTTATACTTTATTAATGCACAAATTGCATGTTGGTTCTTGTTCTTCATCGTTGAACATGTAGTTTCTTGCAACATGTTCTGGCAGCATGAGTAACCATGTATACACATTATTATCACATATGAAACAAAGTACATAACTGGCTATGCAATTTCTAGCCTAAATAGAAAATCTCATGCAAATATCTCTTTTATAAATGTAAGCTTTATTTGTATGTTCTAATATTGATTTTACTTTCTTTAAACAAAATAGCTTGGCTTAGATTGTAAAATGATGTACCAAAGTTTCAATCCGACCAACCGAAACCAACTCAACCCACACGATTTGGGTTGAGTTGGATTGGATTGTACTTTTGTTTGGTTGAGTTAGATTGAGATTTTTCAAAGCGTAAACATTGAGTTGGATTGTTCATATGCTTTCAACCCGTCCAATCCAACCCAGCTGAAACCCTAGCCAATATTATGTATTTTTAAATTTTTAGTAACACAATTTTATTCTGTTAAATATTTCTTTATTATACAAATTTTTATATGTATTTTTAAATTTCATTGATCAACATTATAAAAAACACTACTCTCATTTTTGTTTATATTTTTTTTTCATCAAATTTAAATTATTTAAATATAACTAGAAGAGTACTCGCGCAATGCAACGAAATACATATTGATTTTAATATTTTATTTTATTATTTATCTCAGTCGATATAATATGGTCTTATGTGATTTAAAAAAAAACGATTATGCTTTTATATTTTAACAAAATATAAATTCAAGGATATCATAAAAATTTGACAAAAATATATCGATATTAGTATCAAATTAACTATTTAAAATTCCTCATTTTTGTGTAATTTTTTAATTCAATTATTTTATTATAGTTTAATTTAGGTACAATAACAAAGTAATTTATATTTGGTTTAATAATATAATCTTCTTATAAAGATAATAATTAATTATTTTGTTAGAACTCGATAATTATCCTAATTATATTTTATATTTTTATATTTTAAAATAAGATGTTTATTCTATATTTAATTATGTTTATCCGCAGTTAGCTATACGAATTCAAACATCGAGCTTTAATAAGTTGTATTTATACATATTTGACTTGTAATCTTGAATTTTAAGTAATATGCATCAATAAACAGTATTTCATGCAAAAAAAATAGTTTTTAAAATTATAAAATAAATAAATTACTAAATATATTAAATATTAATCAATATGTCTGATAATTATAAATAATTAATAGAATAAATAATATTTCAAATATAAAGGCCGGCATTTGACTCCAACTCTTATTTAAACCTCTTTTTTCAAAACTTTTGACATATGACATAATGACACCAACCTCACTTTCACGTTTTAATTACTTGTCTAAATTGAATTTAAATGATATCGTTCAAAAAAAGTGGGCCGAAAGACTTTTAAAGACAATCTATACGCGTTAAAAGTCTAAAGGATCGTGATCCACAAGAGCGTCCGCATATCGTCTTGCAGACGTCTGTTGTGGGTCTTAACAGTAACAGAAACATAACAACCAAATGTTGGATATCTGTTGTGGGTCTTAACAGTAACAAAAACATGACAACCAAATGTTTGACATATGTTGTGGGTTTTAACAGTAACAGAAACATGACAACCAAAT